ATTAGTGAACTCATCATAGGGGTATTAGTGAACTCATCATAGGAGTATCAGTGAACTCATCATAGGAGTATTGCTATATACTTCATTGCTGAATATCACTACGTGACCTCTGCAGTACTCCCCTTGGGAAGCTGTGCATCCACACCAGAATCTAGTCCACCTTTTAAAACACTTTTCTTATAATGAGTTTGTGAACTTAATTGTCTGTCAGCCTTTGTGCAATGACAGCTCTGATGGCCATTCCAGAGAAAGAGGCCCAGAAATGCTTTGAAGGATGCAGGTGCTGGTGTCAGTGCTGGACCTCTATCTGCTGACTGGGTGAGCTCTTCCCAAGGGGAGCACCTGCCAGGTGACCACAGCAATATTCAGCGGTGAGGTATGTAGTGCCTTTTCTAGGATGCGTTCTAGAATGTAACTGTCCAACCTCTATGTGTGTGTGTATGTATACACACACATATATACACCTTTTTGCCATTCCGATATTAAACATGTCTCTCCCTGTGCCATACATTTTATCTGACTCTGACCTTGCCTTTTGACACTTATCATATATTACAGCTCTTTCTATTATAGGCATTTTAAAAACATAACTTCCTGGGTTGAAGTTTCCATTTTTGAAGAGCAGGTTTCTTAGGGACCTCTGGACGGTCTGTGCCTGGTCTTGTCAGAGGACTCTCAACCTCTGAACTGAGACACACATTGCATCTGTACATTTCAGGGAAAGGCCAGTAGCTTTGTCTGAGGGATAAAATTTCTGATACCTACTACATTTTTTCTGTCTTAATCATTATAGCTTCCAGGAAGTAAAGTGGGAAAGAAACATCTAGATGTTCTTTATAACACAAGTGGGGAAACACTGGTCACACTGAGGCATGTTCAACCCATAGAATCTAAGATGGTGATAAACCCTTTGTACCTGTCTTTAAACAGTTGACATAAATGCACACTCACTGCATCTCTGCCTTTGAGGTGCGTTTCATGTGAAAATAATCATAGATTAATTTCCTTTCATTACTGCCCACCAAGCATTATGAGACTTTAAAAAAGTACTATTTTTAGGAGGAGAAGCACTAGTAATTTTAGAGCACACCAATGTGGACTTGTCTTTCTGCTTTTCCTCACTAACTGCAGCAATAACCCAGAAATGTGAATTGATTCAAGGAGAACTTGGGAAGGAGGTAGTAGAGTGGATGTTTCAGAAGTAAAAATCATCATAAGGAAATATTATCAACAAATGAAATGACCTAATTGGATAACATAGAAGAAATTGCTGACTTCTCAAACACATACAACTATCAAGACTGAATCAAGGTAGCTGGAACAAACAACAACAAAGAAAGGGTTTGAGCCGCTTGTGAGAAACACAGTCTAGGGGCATTTAAAAGCTATTAAATGTATGTATTGCATAAATGAATCATTTTCTATAGGAACTGCTGTCAAACAAGTGACATTGTGTTAGCTTGACAGAACTTCCCCAAGCAATACACATTTCTAAAATGCATGGAAATGCAAATGCTCTCAGTGCTTTCAATAGTAGCGCTACTGAAATTCCATGATGTTTTGTATACTTGTTAGGATCTGAAATATACAACTTACTATAAATTGACCATATATGACTGTTACACTAATATTTTGAAATAATATGTCTAGCTTAAAACTCCATGTGCCTGTAAAACTGACTTATCTCTCATGCTCTTGCTACTGACTTTCTCTAACACTAAATATCACCCATATTCTTATAGCTAGATTTCAATAGCAACGTGTTATGAACATTACCATGTCACATTCACTCACATAAACCATGTAAAAGTTTGCTGCTTCTTGGCTGGGCATGATGGCTCGCACCTGTAATCCCAAACACTCTGGGAGGCTGAGGCAGGAGGATCACCTGCGCTCAGGAGTTCGAGATCAGCCTAAGCAACAGTGAGATTCCATCACTAATAAAAAGTAGAAAAAATTGAGGCAAAAGGATTGCTTGAGCCCCAGAGTTTGAGGTTGCTGTGAGTTAGGATGACACCACAGCACTCAAGCCAGGGTATCAGGGTGAGACTCTGCAACAAAAAAAGAAAAAAAATGCTTGCTGCATCTTCATGATATTATGATGCCTGCTGAGAAAGTAATCTGTGCCATGGTGACTCAAGATATATTAGGTACAATCAAAAGTCAACTTCTGGAAAAAAATCAACTCATTCTTTGTCCATTAAAATGCAATACAATTTATAGACAAAAATGAAATACAAATGTGATTTTGCTTTATATCTACTTACTGTAGAAAATAGAATCATCAAAGAATCGTGAGACTCCAAGCTTAAAAACAACCATACTATAAAGAAAACAGCATTAACTCCAATCTATGAAGAATGTTTATGGGTTTTGATTATTTCCCCCATGATTTAACTATAGTATTCAGTCATGAGAAATTTTTATGTGCTCTTGTGAAATTAAATATTATCCTTTAGTTTGTTTAGTTAGAAGATTTTATTAAAAGTCAAATTACATAATAATTAGTACATAATGTGAAATGAGATCAAAATTAAATATGAAATTATTCACAACTATACTTTTTTTAAATAATAAGAAAAATAAATTTATATTACCTGGCCATACTTGGCTGCTAAGTGAAGGGGAGTCCAGTACTGGTCATCTACAATATTGAGGTCTCCACCGTGCTCCAGGATAAGAGAGACCACCTCCTTGTAGCCACTTGCACACGCCATGTGTAACTGTAGTGAAGAGATATTTCATTACCTAACATTTTAAAAGTAGTGATATTGATACAGTTCATTCAGTGGTTTAAAGAGAGATGTTTAATAAAACATCAGATCCAAAATAGTGGTCACCATAAGACAAAAGAACATGCATGTAATTTTATCCATTTGGTATAAGTAGGTGTCGTTATCATTCTTTGAGAGAAAACATGTGAGTTAATAATTATTTCCTTTCTGATTCTCATGATGTGCACTTATTCAAGTTAATTCCTATTCCCATGCTGCTCTATTCCAACAAATTCTGAATATTTTAAAACACAAAATGCCATAATTCCATGGTGTACTACTTCTTTAACGTGTAGTGATAAGCTCTGATATTCCAGGCACCATACTTGGTGCCACAGAAGGCAGATTCAAAGACACAGTAGCTAAAACACAGGAGATGTACACTGTGATGCTATGTACACATAAAGGCCCAGAGGACACTAAGTGGGATTAATTAATCCCAGCAGGCTTTAACATGATTACGTAGCTATCGTTTTAATATTCTCCTTGTTTAGTTTCCAAAAGGTATTTGAAGTTTAGAAATGAAGTTTTAGTAACTACGATGATAAGATCAGGGTCTAGAAAATTTCTCATGTTTTGTATAAAAAAGAATCTGTAATGCAGAATCAAGAATGGGTCCTTTAGCTGGTCAGTAACAGATCTTAATGGTGTCAGGTTAACAGGGTCAACCCCTGGAGGAGGGGCTCCCCCAGTCAGATCCAGTCCAAGTCTGAGCCAGTCATCTCAACCACAGCTGAGGCGGGAGAGATGAGAAGTCCTGCACCACCTTCTAGGAAGGGTCTCCAAAGCACTGGCTACTGTGGCATAGATGGAGCCTGCGAATTTAATGACATGTAATCTTAAAACTAAAACAACAACAAAGAGCCCTAATTGGATTATAATTTTTTTTTTTTGAGAGTCTTACTATGTCGCCCTCCCCAGAGTACTGTGGTGTCACAGCTCACAGCAGCCTCAAACTCTTGGGGCTTAAGTGATTCTCTTGCATCAGCCCCCCAAGTAGCTGGGACTAAGGTGCCTGCCACAACACCCAGTTATTTTTTGGTTGCACTTGGCCCAGGCTGGATTCGAACCCACCAGCTTTGGTGTATCTGGCTGGTGCCCTAGCCACTGAGCTACATGGCATCAAGCCAAGAGATAATTTTTTTTTAATCTTCATAATAAAATACCAGGAGCTAAGGGCTTTTACCCTGATTCTACTGGCAACTGACATCTGAACCCATAGGCAAGTCACTAGTCTCCACAGGGCACAGTTGCTCATTGTCCCTAAGAGCACATTCAGTTAAAAACATACAAATAGAACAACAAATGTCTGTTTCCTGAAATGGGATTTGTGCTCCTGCTACTTGTCCTGGACAAGGTAACAGGGCTCATCACTGTGGCCTTAGAAGAGTCCTCCCCTGCTATTTTCAGGGTTCTCGCGAAGGACAGAGGTGGTCACTGTGCCTGCTGTGGACTAGCAGTGGTGTACTTGGAAGCAGAGTTCCCACAGAAATCACAGTGTGGAACTCACCTGCCTAACGACAACAAAGGGCAAGACCCTGAAGTAGCTTCACAAGCAGTAGGAATAAAAGCTGGAAGGTATTTCTCTTTTTTACAACCGGTGACATTGTTGACAGCCTGCATTTTCCGATGAAGAAACACTGGTTTAGAGGCTGAAGGAAGCACCGAAGCCACATTATTCTACACCCTGGAGTGCTCAGACTTGAAGTAGCACAGAGTGGACACGTGAAATGTCTGTTTCATTCCACACTAAGCTTTTGGTTAATAATATCACTTAATGATAGTTTTAATTATGAGAAAATACACTATAGACCTCCGATCCTTTTAAGTTAGAGGTTTTCCATTTTAACTGTCCTGGGCAGTTTGGTTGAGATGCAGTGGATGGGTTTTGATACCTGCTTGGAAAAATAAAGGGCAAGAGATGGTCTGGTTATCAGCTTTAGAGAGCAGGGAAGGCGAGTTCATCTGTTGTGAACCACACACAGCCTTGAGTACACGGGGTGGGGGTGGGGTTTCTGTGGAGAAACTCAGGTTTATTTCCTTTTCTATTTTAGGGGAACCTGATGGGTTGAGCATAATTTAGCAGAGAGAATCTAGAGTATCCGCAGATTCCTGAGAGCTGAGCAAGAGTAGAAGGCCACTTGGAAGAGCTGCGTCCAGTCAGATCAGGGAGGACGAGAGCTTCTGGGTGAGGGGGGCGGGTGGCATCTGAAGAACCCCACATCCGTATAAAAGGAGGGGTCAGCTTCTGGCCCGGGGTAGGAAACCATCTTCAGGAGGGCAAAGAGACCTTGCTCTCACTACGCCTCCCCACCCCATCTACGCCTTCCTCCCTTCCCTCCCTAACTTCAGAGGAGGTGAATCAGGGAGGGAGGCTGACGAGGGGCAGTAGGAGGGGAGCAGTCGACCTTGTGAAGCTCCTTCTCTGGACTCTGTGGCCCACAGCAGCTCTGAGCCACGGACGTGCTCAAGATTTAACCAAATCAGACACCCGGGCCCACTGGCCCCTAAAGGATGTGTGTGTAGAATTCAGAGAGGTTACAAGCTTGTGTGGGAAAACGGACAGATGTATTTTCTTCTCATCTGTTACAGAAATCAGGCAGATTTTTCAATGGTGAACGCAGGCAGCCAACTCATGATATTACTTACATCAATAGAAATCATGGTATTTTCATACGACGTATATCTCAAATAGCATTATGCTTGACACCACCTTAAAATCTGTTGCTCAGTGCACTGATGAAGAAGCACATCATTACATGTCACAATAAAGAAAGCAAACAAAAATGAAACTGCCCGATGTTTGCATCTCCTGATTAATCCCCTTCCTAACAAACTAAGCGAGTAAGTCTCGATGCCAGATGAAGCATATTAAATTCTGTGCTAAACAGTAAAGAATCAGTATCTCCATAGTACGCATGTTAATTATTACAGTGCTATTTTCACAGTGTTTATACAGTTGAACTCAGGAATTTATTTTCATGTGTCCTGAAACATGGTATTTTTGTTTTGTTTTGTTTTTTAAATTGTGTCCTTCTCTGAGGCTTCTACTTATATTTAAGGAGAGTATTAATATAAAGTAAAAGATTTTTTGAAAAAGGACATGTATTTGGTTATTTTATTGCATACTCTAAAAAAGCAGGAAAAGGCACCATGAAAACCACCTTACTTCTTAGAAGTTTACTTATAGTGAGCCCTTTGTTGTTAGTGGGAGAAATGACGCAAAATTTTGACCCATGATTGACAATCCAGCTCAGGATATGGAAATCAATCTGTGAACAAAAGTGCCCTCTTGTCCTCCTCTCCAACAATAGATGAATACACTATGCACCTTAAGGAAATAAAGTGCCCGGCAATGACAGTCATTAACATAAATAGGTGGCCAGCTCAGACACAAGAATCAGATCAAACTGCTGCTTTGCAAACACTACACTCTTCCAGGGACAACGTCCTAGCCTTTTGTTCACTGTCGCTTTCTTGTTAAAAGCTCAAAGATGATCACCACAAGATTTAGTTATTACAGAACAATTATTGTCATCATGTATGCTCTCAGCTCAATAAAAGTGATACAAGGAACGCCAAAACTGAAGATGGTTGAAAATGATAGCAATTTATCCCTCTGTACTGATTCAAGTGTGCACACTCCTTCATTTGGCAGGGATTGAAGGATGTGTTCTGTTTTTATTTAGTAGTGACTTTAAAAATACATAGAGTTATAATATCTTCTACTATGCAAAGAAACAAAGGCTCCATTGTGTTATATTATGTGTTAGGCATCATTTCATTGGGTGAAATAAATAAGTTGTTAATTAAATACCTTACTGCAGTCTGACTTTTGACTCTCCTGGTCCACTGAAACTGTCCTCCCCACCCTGACCACTCTCTGTCTGGTCCTCCCACCTCATCACAGCCGGTGCTCCCGACTCCTGGCACCTCCTCCTCTGGTCTTCCTCGGGTCTCAGAGCTCGCCCTTCTCCTCCCCTCTCTGGAGCCTCTTCCCTTCCATCTCCATGTCTTAGTCCCAAATCCTCTTTCCTTCTGCATCGAACTGGCAATGTCATCTACTATCAAGCTTCGTTATCATCAATACACTCACGTTCCCAAAGTCCTTCTCCGGAACCCCGGGCTCCAGCCTCACACACTAACTGGGAGGCTCCACTCAGGCCGCAGCGCCCTCAGGCGTAACCTCTCCCGGGCTGACCTGACCCTCCCGCTCTACACCTGTCCCTCATGGACGTCAGCTCCATCGCGGTAGTTTAGCCGAAAGACCATGGCGCCCCACGGCAGTCTCACACCACACATCCATCAGCAGGTCGCGCTGGGTCTTTGGAAAATGTCTTCCAGATGTAACCCCGGCTCACAACCTCGGCGTCCTCCACTGTCGGGTGAGCTGCGTCACAGACGGCCCTGTGACTGAACCCTCAGCCTCACCCCGCCTCTCTGTCCTTCCTTAGCACAGCCTCAGAGGGCGTGATCCTTTCAAAAGTGAACTAGGATCGCGTCCCTCCTTTCTTCTGACCACCCCACTCCATAATCATGATCCTCCTACCAGCCCACGAGACCCATGTGATCTGCCACCAGCTGCATCTCTTCCTTGTTTCCGTGGCCTCAGTGTGAGACTCCGGGCTCACCACGCTCGCCCCCCGCCAGGGCCTGGGCACTGCCGGCCTGGCACGCCGCTCCTGCACAGCCGGACCCTGCGCCCTCAGCCTGCAGGTCATTACTCAGAGCTCCCCCTGGAAGGTAGATCTGTCCTGTCCATCCACTCAAACAGTGACAGTACAGCCAACACATCCCTGTCTCGTCTTGTTATTTTTTCCTCTATATTTATTACCAACACATTATATATGTAGTTCATTTATAATGTCCATTACCCATTTTCCCCACTGAAATGTGAGTCCACGACAAAATATTTTTGCTATTTTGTTCACAGCAGGTGGTCAATATTTCTTCACTAAGCTAATGCCTATGCTTTGCCATCTGAATGTGTTGTTTTCAACATACTCTAAACAGGCTTTGTTTATTTTTCTTATGTCTTAGAGCTATATTTTTATAGCCTCTGAAATTGTTAAATCTATAAACATCAATTTTAGATGACAAAATTTAGAAGACTATAATTTTAAGATTTTATACATTTTCAGAAGGCTATAAAGTAACAAAATTTTTAAATGACAGTCTTCTAAATTTTGTCTTCCAAAATCTATATTTAGTTAGAGAATTTCATCTACAGATCACAAGGCACTGTAAATCTGTATTTAATTAAAGTAAAAATATATCAGATTTCAAAAATTTTCCAGATGATGAACCTCTTATCTACTTAGCTAAGTCACTTTCCTCATCAACTCCCTTCAACCTCACACCATGTTTCTCCCATGGAAGAAACCAGATCACTGATTCCAACAACTTCTAGGCACTTCAGAACTTCATACTTCCTTTTGCTATTCTAGTTTTCTTCCTCTTAACTTTTTCCCCTGCATCTTCACACATTTATTTTTTGTCATCAAAATTTTAACTCAAACATACCCAGGTAAATTTTATGTGTCAACAAGGCAATATGAACTGGGCACAGTAGCTCACACCTGTAATTCTAGCACTCTGGGAGCTGAGGCAGGTGGATGGGTTGAGCTCAGCAGTTCAAGACCAGCCTGAACAAGAGCAAAACTCCCATCTCTACTAAAAATAGAAAAACCAGGCTGAGGCTGGTGGATTGCCTGAGCTCATGAGTTTGAGACCAGCCTATGCTAGAGCAAGACCCTGTCTCAAAAAAAAAAAAAAAAAGCCGGGCATTATAGAGGGGGCCTGTACTACCAGATACTTGGGAGGCTGAGGCAAAAGAATTGCTTAATCCCAAGAGTTTGAGGGTACTGTGAGCTGTGAAGCCACAGCACTCTACTGAGGGTGACAAAGTGAAACTCTGTCAGAAATAAATAAATAAATAAAATAGAAAAACCAGCCAGTCATCGCAGCAGGCACCTGTAGACCCAGCTACTGGGAAGGCTGAGGGAAGAGGACTGGTTAAGCCCAAGAGTTTGAGGTTGCTATGAGCTGAGCTGTGATGCCACAGCACTCTACCCAAGGTGACAGAGTGAGATACTGTCTGAAAAACAAGCAAACAAACAAACAAACAAAACCTAGGACCATACAGTCTTGTATTGATGATTAGACATTATGATTATATTGCTTTGTTTTTAATTTACTGCAGCAGTCCCTGATAACAATAAAAAAGTAATGACAAGAGTTTGCTTGGATTTAGAAATTCATTTACCAAAGCATCTCATCATACATTGTTTCACTTAAAACTAAAATGAAAGCATTCTCCTGTAAGTTGCACCTCAAAAATTACATTGAAAAAGCATTGCATAAAGTATTTTAAATGTGTAGAAAAAATACATGGAAGGATTGCCTGAACAAAACATATCAACATATACCCATTCTTTTTGTCTGGCATAAGTATTTTTGACTTTCTGTTTTGCACATTTGTATGTTTTCCAAAAATTCTGCAATGAATATGTAATACTTTTATGATCACAGAAATTATTTAAAGATCAACTTTAATCAATTCTATGTTTTAAAAAGCAACTTAGATTCTCTATGTAAATAATTTTGGAGTCAAATGTATTAACTTACCAGAGTTACTCCTTCATCGTTTTTCTCATTAACATTTCCTCCAGATGATAAGAAGTGTCTGACATCTGTTAACATACTCAGGGGTCTCTGCAGCTTCATCTGGTGGAGTGAGGTCAGGTCCACTCCTATGGGGAAAAAGGGCCTTGCCGTCAGGTTATGGAGATGCCTTCCAGCTGCTGGGGCTCAAAACACAGCTTCGTCTTCTATTCTTTAATGGTATTCTTCTTTGAGGCCCCTCTTTCTGTTTCTCTTTGCAAGCATCCTATTTCCAACTCGATTATAGTCTTTAACCAATAGAAAATGTATCTTGTTATATCCGAAGATATGAGAGGATGCCTTATATGTGGCAGGCTATTAATGATTACCATAAACGTACACTGCC